TCTTGATGGATTTTGACGAAACTTGGCATGTGTGTTTGTTATAAACCAAGGATAAACCCTATTGAAAATCAGAAAAATCGAAAAATATTTAGTAAGCACAATTCTGGACGGATTTTGACAAAACTTGGTATGAGTGTTATTATATAAGTATATATATATTATAAATAAAAAGGAAATCGATGCCGGGCAACAGATTAAAATATATCGTTTCATGTGAAACAAATGGTCATTCCGGATTTTATCAGAAACCTTTACTTTCGATTTACAAGTCGTTTTTGTGCAGTTGGGCACGATGCGGCAAGTTGGGCAATGTGGAAAAACGAACCCACCGTTGTGCAACACCATTTGCCATTGCATTATCCACAGAAATTTGTTGCGGACACACGAACAGTCTTGATCGGCGACAATGACCGTTCGTGTTCCCGAAACATAAAGTTATTGGATTTAGTTTCAGATAAAGATATAACAATCATAATCTTAACAGTTTTGGTGGTGATTTTGATTATCTTCGTTGTAGTTTACACATTGTACAGAAAGTATCAAGGTAAATGTTTCAATTCAAGTAAGCTAAATGAAAGTGTTTTTTCAAGCTCTTATTAATTAGGGGGCCAGGTTTGCCATTTTTGACAAAATATCGTACATTAGTCTGTGAAACGGGAACTTTTAAGTTAAGCTAATAAGTAAAAGTGTTCACAGCTCACCGTCGAAATTTCAGTCTTCAAATCCATAGTGTCTTCAAATCCAATTATGTCCAGAAGTATCCGCGTTTGAAAGTTAAAATGACGACTCGCCTTTTCTTGAGATTCCGCTATAATGAAACATACTGAAATAGAAAGTGGAACTTGTAGTTTGAGGTACATGTATATTTGAAATGAAATGAAAATGAAATGAATGGAGTTTTACGTCCTAATATATTTGAAGGGATTATGCTATTTTTAGACTATTTATTACACGGACTAAATCAATACCCGAAAATATCAAACTTACTGAATTATGATTACTTTGTTCATGTGTCTAAAGTAAACCACCATTTCCAAAAGAAACTGGCCTAATGAGGATTATATATGTTGGTAGTATGAAATAAGTTCTAATTATTAATTTAGTCAATCTGAAAATCACTGTTTACTGCAAATTGTTTTGAAATATTGAAAATTTCATCTAATGTTATTTTTCTAATTCAGATAAAAACCAACGCGAAAGATGGTGAGTATAGACAATCTCAAAAGAGCTTTAAAGTTCAAATCTCGATCTGCGTGACTTGGAAAAGAAGTTTAGTCGTTCGGATGGGACAATAAACCGAGGCCCCGTGTGCTACAAGTTGTGCACGTTAAAGATCCCTCGACTGTTGAAAATCGAACACGAGTAGGCTAATGCCGCTGTCCTGGCAAAATTTCCCTCACTGCACACTGCATGGTGTTGTCTTTAATAGCCCAATCTAGGTGCAGAAAAATCGGATGTAAAACTCCATTCATTTCATTTTCGGTCGGCGTGTGAAAATCTGTTGACCTGATTAGGTCCTCTACCCTCATTAATCTTGTCGACCCAGCTGCAAATGGGTGCAGAAT